AAGTAGTAAGAAATCTTACTTTATAAAAAAAAATTGTAAACTTCAAAATAAGTTTGCTTAGTAATTTGTTAATAAATAAATACATATTCACACTTGCTTATGTAACAGTTGCAATAATTATCGAAACGCCTTCTAATATTTAAGTAGTTTTGTAGCAATTAGTTGCCTATTAAAATATATAGATACATAACTGCATAGTTTCAAAAAAAAAACATTTTAAAAATATATACAGACAGAGATAAACACACCTTTTTAAGTACATGCATATGTATATATGTAATCGTATTTAGTACTATTTTGAATTTTGCATATCCCACGTGAAGGCCAGTTGTTAAGCCAAGCTGATGATAATTATTAAAAATAAATAATATGTAAATGCAAAGAAATGTTTTTTAGTAAGTTGCGGACATTTTATAATTTTTTTTTTTGAGATGTGCTCGCTTTAAGTGCTTATAACAGTTTTAGGGATTTCGAAAAAAATGTTGTATGCGGTGTGGCAGCGATTACCAGTAAACATATTTTACAGTGGCAAAAAAAAGCATCAATAACGGTAAACAGCAAAAGTCGATTTTCTAGTTTTTTTCGACTTGCAAGTGCGACACTTGATTACCCTCACTTACTACTAAAACTATTGATGTTCGACAGTAAACCTTCTTAAACCTCTTTAGTTTAACATCAGTAGTGCAATATTTAATTTACCTTATTAATTTAATTAAATGAAAATTTTCAAATAGGTGGCAACCTTCCACACAATTTTTTCGGTTGCAAGCCTTCTTAAACCTCTTTCTTGTTTACAGCTATGTTGCAGCTCTGAATTTTTTTGTCCTATATTTTAATTTAGACCTCAAAGCAATACACCGGTGAAAACTGCATTCGATTCCATGCATTCGTTTTCGTGTCATGCGCATACAGACAGACAGACAGACAGCCAAAAATGCTGAAAATTCTTGATTTGGCTTCTGTTGCTCTAATAAATACCCATCATATTAATAACATAGATATTAAGGTGGACTTCCATCCATTCTTATGACGTCAAGTAGCCTGTTTGGCAGTGAATTATATAAACTTTGAATGTAATTATTTGGTACTGAAATGAATGCAGTCGCTATTGCATCGAAAAGTGTTGACATGGAGTCGTGCTGTATTTCGCAACAACTATCCCCACACATTAGGTGTGTACTCGCATTGAGCGGACAAAATTATCCAGCAGCAAAAATTCTGAGATTTTAGCAGCATTCGCTCTCAAAGAGACAAAATATCCACAAAAGTGCGAGAACAACAACAGTTGTGCTCACTTTTTCGTTGTATACTAGCATGAATAATAAAATTTGCAATAAATAACTCAAAAAGGCGATATTTTCTTTTGTTTATTTACAAACATGTGTTTGTAATCAGCTGATTTTCTTACTTGCAATTTTTGCTGGGAAAAATTTTTAAAGCAAAAATTTGCAGCTCTCTTTCATATTTTTCTCTCTCAATTTCCCCTACTTTGCAAGTTTTTTGGGTACAAGAAAGCCAAACCAGTAAAAGTTTTCGAAAACTTTTGATAGTTTTGGGTATGAGTGCACACTTACCACTTATAAACATGTATATTTTTGGCACTAAACCATTACCTCACTCTTCTTGCTGTGTTGTCCTGCTGAACAATCCATTCTTGGTTGGTAAATATTTCATCAAGGTTTAAAAATTACTGGGTCTCCAACAGCTGGCAATAAATACATATATGCATTTTGTCGACCATCAAAAACTCTAAATTTTTTTGCAGCGTAATAGCAAGTTAATGCCCATATCATCACCGAACCAACAAATCGCTCCGACTTTCTCAAATCGAATAAATTGTGCTGGAAACCACTCGGACCGTTCGAATTGAACTATTTTTCGTTAGGGAAAAATAACAGTTTTACAGTAATCACGCCAGCGTACGTTCAGTGGCGCTCACCTAAATAGCACACTTTTATTTTTTACAATATTCATTATGTTTTATGATAAATTTTTTTCGTTAACTTTAAAAAAAAAAGATATAGTAGATGCTATAACCAAAAACCATATAAGTAAAAGTTTAAAACTTTGTGTACAGTTGAGGAAAATTTCAAAAATTTCATAAAAATGTAATCAAAATTTTCAACTTTCTTCCATATAACGCATGAACAAAATCTATTTTCATATGGGAGAAAATACGCAACACCCTCGACAAAAAAAAAATTCACACAAATCTACGGGATTTTCTCAAATTTTCAAACCTGCAGATTGATTGGGCTATAAAACTGCATACCCAAAAAGTCTCTAAAAATTATGAAAAAAAGTTGAAATTTGTTTTGTGGCCCTTGCAGGTTACTAAAATAGCAGAAAAGAGTTAGTTACGGTAACCTGCGCAGATATTTAGAATGCCACCACAGGAAAATTGGGATGCCGATAGCTACCATTTACGCGTATAAGAATTTTGTTCATGGGTGCCACCCAAAAAAATACAGTGAAAATCCAAGCGAGGGCAATCAAGTGTCGTGCAGTGTATATTTTGAATAACCGTAACCGCGTACCTACACTGAACCCTCTGATAAATTACACGATAAAAAAAAAATAAAAATTAACACCTACCCAAACCATATCAAAGACACTTTATACATAAATACATTCTCGTAAGTACCTCTATACCTTTTGGCTTTCAATATAAATCAAAATCTCTTTAAAGCGCTTTAAAACAATTAGTGTTTGCATTTAAATGTAAAATACATACATTAATCTAAATTGAGTATGGGGCAGTTCTACGTTCAAAATAAAGACAAACACGAAAATTAAAAATTAAAAAAAACATATACATACATATATAGGGGTCGCTACCAGGGTCTGATTTTTTTTTTATTTATAAACTGCCCAAGTTATAGCCGGTTAAAAAATTGAGGAAAAATTATTAAAATTTAAATTAAAGAATTTAAAAAAAAACAGTAAAAAAGTTGACGAATTTTCGCGATCAAAATAAAAATTATTTTTTCAAACCCTGGTAGGGGGACTCCTAATATCTAAAGAAAGTTTTGAACTTTTCGTGGATGTTTTTATTTTGTATGTAGGACGCACACATATGTAATGTATGTATATATGTATCCATGTTTGTATTGAAAATATGCATTATATGTATATTAAAAAAAAAAGAATTGTATACTAATATTGTATCTATGTAATTATGATACATATATAAATTAATGATCAAATTATCGAAAAATTAAAAATAAGAATATGTATCATTGTGAAAAATCTAGCTTTGCATTTCCAATCAACAGCAAATTGTAGTCCCACACCCAACACTTATACTACATACACATTAGTTATTGCATAATTTACCTAGACCAAACACAAGGACAACGATCCAACAACAAATATATGTATACTACATACTATTTACGATATACTATTCAATTGTCACAATGCAAATTGCAATTCTTCAAAAAAGTTAATAACTTACAAAAAAATATATGCAAATTTTAAAAATATAACAAACGGCTTTTTATTTATCAAAGTTTAAGTTTAAGAGTTTAACATAAAAAAATAACTACCACTGCAGCTGTAGGAATTTAGTGGAAGGCTAGCCAAATTAATTAACAGTGGCCATAGTGAGTTCCTACTCTTCCATCCGCGTGCGCACAACTTGGGTAATCCATGCGCGAGATGCAGTTAACAAGCCGTGTCGGGAGCCCTGCTCACTTGGACACTCCGATTAAAAAAATTAAATAAAAATGTATCCAGTTTTTACAAACTTGCAGCGGAAAGTATTATTTATACTCTCGGATAAGACGAAGAGCAACAAAGCTTCTGGAGCTGACGGCTGTCAGCTGAGTTACGGTAGGGAGGGGTTGATAAGGTGCATGCACTAAATCCTATGTAGAATATGGTCGGCGCCCTGAGCTCGCAACAAGTTAGAGGATGGTTGACTTCTTTTTCGGTCGCATCTAACTATTTCCTTGTCAGACTTAGGTATGTGAGTACCACATGATAGCGATATCAAAGGAAACTGCGTGGTTAAGGAGGCGCACCGTCGACTCAGTCTGATGAAGAAAAGAGGAAGTGGGAGTCCCTTTGACTACATATGGACCTTTCTTGAGCAGAAGGTCCTCATGGTAGCGCAGCGAACGTTAGGCGAAAACTAGGGCATTAGCTACTGCAAGGTCCTTCTGGCCAGGGGCTGGGCCCGAGGAGGTCTAGAAATCTCCTTAGGCGTGTGAGCCTAATTGTAGTATTTGTATTGATAGTGCACAGCGCGATTAGTGGGACCAAATATCATATCGAATCAAATTCTAGCAACCGCAAATTACCAAGATTTTGCTAGACTGCGATTAAAACACCTGGAATCTCACCTTTTGATCAAGAGGAGCTTACCGATCGGTACTTGAGTACCTGTAAAGTTCTCTCTCGTCGTCCAAAATCACAGTATAAATCACTAATTATGCCCGTAAATAAATGACGCAGAAGAAAGGGCAATGACAACATCCGGCTCTTGCAGCGAATTAAAGTGTAGCGGCTCCACTGGCTTGGTCATGTCGTACGAATAGACACAAACGCTCTAGCCCTGAAAATTTTCGACATGGTACCGGCTGGTGGTAGCAGATGGAAAGGAAGGCCTTCTCAGCGATAGCAAAACAGGTGAAAAAGGACTTGGCCTCACTTGGCATTTCAAATTAGCGTCATTTGGCACAGAAAATAAATGATTGACGTGTGCTATTGGACTTGGTTAAATGCCAGCGCATCACTTGCTTTCAGGCGAAGGTTAAAGCCTCAAGAACCACTGCTCTTAACGGTATATAACCGCACCAGAGTTATCCACCTGTCACCTGTGAAGTCGTATCACTACCACTGGTCGAAACTCATCTGTATCGGGGAAATCATTTCTCTCTTCTTACAAGCGATTCAGTTTCTATATATCGAGCAAACAAGTAACTCCTGTTGGGATGCTACCTCAGGGGGGCACACATACTTGATATATGAAGTGAACTTTTTTCAGCGTATTTCAGTTGTGTCACAGGTGGCGAGTTTAATGAAGAACCCAGTCCTGTATCGCCACGCGATAGCAATAATGAGGTTTAAAAAACGAAAGACACCCGGAGCTAACTATATACCGGCTGAGCTTTTGAAAGCAGACGCCGAAGAGCTGGTAGAGCATTTGTACAAACTTTTTCAAGAAGGCAAATACAGCTGCGTGTGCCCAACTACTGCGGGATAAGTCTTCCCAACAATGCATATGAAGTTCTATGGGCGATACTACGTGAAAGTTTGGAGCGTTTTATAAAATAAATGATTGGATCATATCAGTGTGGGTTCAGACCTGGAAAATCCCCATAGACCAGATTCTCACAATACATACATATATATAATGGAAATGAACTTAGATACAAAAGGGTGTATGAATTAGCCCCCACTGAATTAACCCCCACCGGGCAAAATGACTTAAGCCCCACCAATTTTACAACGAAATTAAAAATGGCGGAAAGTGTGGCTAAAGTCATTTTCGTGGGGATTAATTCATTTTTTTTTAGTGGGGATTCTGTCATGTAAGAACCCCCACGTTTGGTGGGGATTAATTCATTTTGATGAGAAAAGTTTATAGTATCGCTTTTATTTAGTAAGATCTTCCTTGCGTTTATACGATTACTCTCTATTTGTTTCAATTTTTCCATATTCATTTTTAAGCAGAATACGCAGAACTGTTTTTAATAATCACTCTATTAAAATTGAATTGTCAAAGATTTTTCCTTTTACGAAAGGTTAAAATCACTAATAGTGCACATTTCGTAAAAGGAGAAACCATAATTTTGTAAATTATAAAATAATAGAAGGGAATTTTTCCTTTTACGAAAGGTTAAAATCACTAATAGTGCACATTTCGTAAAAGGAGAAACCATAATTTTGTAAATAATTCCTTTTTTTTCATGGGGATTCTGTCATGTAAGAACCCCCACGTTTGGTGGGGCTTAATTCATTTCGATTGGTGGGGATAAAATCATTTTCGTGGGGTTTAATTCATTTTTTTTTCGTGGGGATTCTGTCATTTTTGGTGGGGAAAGATTCACTGAGACATTGGTGGGGCTTAAGTCATTTTGCCCGGTGGGGGTTAATTCAGTGGGGGCTAATTCATACACCCGATACAAAATAGATAAGCGCCACACTTTCGTCAATTTTAAAACCACCTTTGATAACACTACGACGCCTTTTTTTGTGTATGAATTACATACATATCTGTATATGATCAAAAGAATGTTACTCATACGCCATGTACGAGCATGTATGAGTATGATCATTACGCAGTTTCATTTCACCATTCACAAATTTATTTATCAGTAGATTTTCTTCGTAAAAACTGATTTTACGCTTTATCTAAAAAAGGACATCATATCTTTAATTTTTATTTTTTTTCCCTGTTAAAGGTTGAATCTTTTTCATTTGCAATGCAAACCTAAAATGAAATTATCTTGAGAAAATGACTTGATCTAGAAAAACGGTATACATATCCGTAATTAAAACTCAGAATTGAGGCTACGTGTCGCGGCGTTTTTTTTTTTGTGATATTTCAGAACTTGAGATATTCCATTCAGTGTAATTGGAGCAACATTTGAAGTGAAGCTTCTTCAGCAGCGGTAGTGAATTGAAAAATCAACATGGCGAATGCCTCCTAAATGTACGCCTTAATATTGATACTGAATTAAAGAAACCTTTCACCGGCTTACTGATAAAATTTAGATTACGATTAATGCAAGGATAAAGGTAAAGAATAACGATAATAATAAAGATAAAGATAAAGAATAGGATGGAAATTAAATTGAAGATAGAAATAGAGAGATATATATCATGTCACCTCACCTTAATTTATTTAGAATTTCTATAGGGTTGCCACCTGTCTAAAAAATTATAAGCTCCGCACCGTTCATTTGATTTAAAAAAGTAAGGTGTCGAATGTAAGGCATTAGCCCTCCAGATAAGCATTCATGTTTTATTTTTTTGAATAAGGTTGCCACCTGTTGAGAAAATTACTATATTCAATACGAAGGAATCAGTTCTGCACCGTCACTGTCAAATAAAAAGACTTAGCCTACAGATGTACATTAATGTATTATTTTTCTGAGTACGGTGGCCACCTGTTTAAAAATTATAAGATCTTAACCGTTTGTTGGATTAAAAATGCCGTCGCATGTTCAAAAACTTTAATTTTTTTGAGTAGGATTGCCACCTATTTAAAAATTATTATATTATCCCTACATAATATAAAGCAAAGTCAAGATTTTTTTACCATTCTAATCTCGAAAACTACTGAACGGAGTAGGACGTGATTTTTTTAGTATAATCTGTTATCTTTAGTACTTGGATTTTCTATAGAGTTGCCATCTGCCAAAAAAGTTATAAGATTTGCACCCTTCACCGTTAGTTGGACTAAAAATTAGGCACCAACTGAAAGGAGATTATCTCCGGATGTGCAATAACCTTTTATTTTTTTTAGTAAGGTTGCCATTTATTTTTTAATTACTACCATACATATAATACGTTAAGTTAATTTTTGTGAATGACGTCAGATTTGCAAAGTTCGTTCAATTATAAAAAATGTGGTGTACAATGAAGGAGCGGGTCTTCAGATATTTATTACGGTATTAGTAGGGTTGCCCTTGTTCGAAAAATTATATGGCAAAGATATGGGCTGTTCGTTGAACTAAAAGTGACTTGTCAAATTAATAGACTTAGCCTCGAGATGTGTCATATGGTGTTATTTCTTTGAACAGAGTTGCCGCCTGGCTAAAAAATTATCAGACCCACACCGTTTGTTGCATTAAAAACATAAGATGTCAAATGAAAGGGTTTAACCACTAAGTGTGCAATAAGGCTATATGTTTTTGAATAGGGTTGCCACCTGCTTTCTCCAAATTCCTATATGTACATATAGTAATGGCCATATCTATAGCACCCCTTTTTAAAAGTGATATTGTTTGCCACTTATGTTTAATTATTCATTTTTGAGAATTTTCAATTAAAATACAAATGTTTTCGTCGAGCTTATTTAATTTATATCTTTTTTCAGCGAAACTGCGAAACATTTCTGAGGGTTTATTTATTTATTTAATAGCAAAATTAAATTTAGTTTCAAAAATGTCAATTTATGTACATACATATAGTATGTATGTATGTATTTTAATTAAACAAAATATTTAATCCATTTGTCCTTAGCAATTAATTACAACACCTAATAGACTATCAGAAAACTCACTGCAAGTCATCTTAAACTACATACATACATACATACACACAAACGTATCCAAAACTTTTATTACTATTGAAGTAATCCACCAAACACAAACTACGTACCCAACATGCGAAAATAATTCATACAAAACAATCAGTTATATTGCCTCAATCTCCTACTCTCATTTTCAGATATATGTAATCTTCATTACTTTTGCCTTGCAAAAGTAAACACTTAATTACCAGCACCATAAAGGCCATTAGTACGTGGAGCATCTTTATCATTGGAATGCACAACATCATTATGACCTTACCATGGTAAATCGAGCATTCGCATATTGCTGTTGCAATTGTCCCTGCTGCTGCTGCTGCTGCTGCTGCTGCTGTTGTTCTGTGGCTGCGGCCGGCTTCCTCACTACTACTATTCTTCACTAGCATTTGCCACAGTAGCACACGCTGGCTGGCCATTGTCTCCACCGACTCATCATCACGTTGTACTCGTCTTCCTTTTTTATTCGTCATCATTGCCGCTATTGCCACTGCGAGTTTCTTGCTGGTTATTGGCGCTAACGCCGTCGTCGTCAACGTCGAAGCGTCGACGTGTGCGCTGTAGTCGCTGTCGTTGTGCACATTGACAAAATCAGCAACAATTCGCAAATTTTCATTCAGTCGGATGCTGTGCGTGCCGGTGCAAGGACATTGTCGTTTCTATTGAATAGAACTGATTGTAGTAGTCGTTGTTTTTCTTTGAAAAACTTTTACTTTCTTCGCGGGTCGGTAGGCGGTTGGTTGTGTGTGTTCCTGATTTAAAATACTTCTCTTAAAATGATGTGTAGAAAATTGTGAAAAATTACGATCACGTGTGTACTGCGACTGGTTTGCGGAAATGTGTAACGAGAGGGCAATTTTCATTTTAAAATTGTGAAAAGGACTGAGTTGGCTTAAGGACGCTTATCGCAGCTTCCGCATTCGCCTGCTACCGATGAGTTGTTTTTTATGTGTGATAATTTGCGAATGTATGACATCAAAAATTTTACGCTTAAAATTAAAAAAAAAAAATTAAATAAATTAAGTACAATAAAAAAGGTATTACAAAACAAAATACAATTAAATAAAAAAATAACTGAAATTCGATATTTCTTATAATTAAGACTGAAACCCATAAATAGTAAAAGATAAAGAGATATACTAATATATTCAACAATTTTATTGAGCTAGATGCCATTTTTAATCAAATATGTTGTAGAATAAAAAATACTTTTGGAATTAAAAATATTTTTGGAATAAAAAAATAATAATAGAAATACATACATCTGATTTTTATAAATGGAAATAAGAATCATTTTGAATTTTTATAATAAAAATAAGCATTAAAAAATTATTTTCGGGATACCATTTTTGTTTTTAATTCCGAAAGTAACTCCTAATTATTTTTTAATAAATAAAAATCAAAAGTAATTTTTAATTTTAAATTTTTACAATAAAAATCACAAGGCGATTTATTAACATTTTTATTTTTATTTTTTATTCAAATTGATTTGGGAAAATGTTCTTTCCACATGTGCTGTCTCTTTTGAATTACGAAAAACAGCTGAAACAATTTTTCCCAAAAGAAGAAACGCTGCTCCTCCTCCTCGACTCGATTTTTGTCTTAAAAAATTTATTCCAAAAAAAGGCAAAAGAGATATTTTCCTTTAATTATTTAAATCTGAAATTTACAACAAGTAATTTTTAAGCAAAAAAACACAACCGACTTCAATTCTCATAAAGAATTTAGGATTACTGTTAATTTCTTTATGATCCAATGATCGGATCAAGACCAAATTAGTAGAGGCCGCCCTTGAGGTACCACCTTTCCGATG